CCCAGCGGGTATTTAGGTCCTTTCTTCCAAGCCAGAAGGTTCTTCTTGGAAGGTGGGTGGAGGAGGGTTGAAGCTGGGAGGATTGTTAACTCCATCAAGGTCAGTGTGGGAGAAAGTGATGTGAAAGTTTTAGTGTTAGAAGGTGAGGTCACAGTAATCCCTGCAGGTTCTGGGGGAATTACTAATCCTTGAGGCGGTACTCACTTTGCGCACCTGAGTGCCACCCCGCCTCAGAGACCAGGAGACAAAGTGATAGGGACAAGCTGGGAAATTTGAGACAGTCCCAAAACCAGGCTAAAGAGTTTCTCTCTCTCCTCTAACAGGAATAATTAGAGCGTGGCCCAGCCCAGCTTTGCTGATCCACCTCCCTCATCCACCTTAATCCAGGTTTTGCTGAGTCATTCAGCTTCTCTTGCAAGTTGCACAGGCGTGTTCTGAGCCCCTTTGTTCTTCTAGGTTCCCTCCTTTGCAGCTGTTGAGGAGCTGTGAGCCTCCTTCCAAAACAGAAGAATATTGTTAAGTTGGAGTGAATGACAAGGCTTCCTGAGGGATGGGAGTGGTTAGGGGCATTGAGAGGAGCACAATGGAAAGAGCATAGTCATTGGGGAGAGAAGAGCCAGGCTGCATCCAGTCTTTCCTAGTCATCTGAGCATGAAAAAGTTACTTAACCTCAGTTTCCTCTTTTTGTTGCAAAGAGGTTGGGAGAAAAGCCCAGATTCAGTTCACAGATGCAGTCTTCTTTGTTACTGTTAACTCACTCCACAGAGCACAGCTGTCACTTGTCTCCCTGGGCAGTGTCTTGCCTTCAGTGCCTGTGCTCTAATGGGTTCCAGATTGTGAGTCAGGCTCTTCCCCGCACTCAGGACCTAAAGAAGAATCTCTGCCTACAGAAAGTCAGCTGCTCCTTCCAGCCCAGAGCAGAGAGCTAAAAGAAGATGTGGCCAAAGTTAAGAAAACAATGTATGAACAAAATTAAAATGTCAAGAAAGATATAGAAAACATCAAAATGAACCAAAAATAAGTCTTGGAGCTGAAAAGTACAATAACTGAAATGAAAAATTCACTGGAAGGATTCAAAGGAAGATTCAAGAGTGAAGAAGAAAGAGTCAGGGAATCTGAAGACAGGATAATTGAAATTATTGAGTCTGAGAAACAGAAAGAAAAAAGATAGAAGAAAAGTGGACAGAACCTATGGGACCTGTGGGACACCACTGAGTAGACCAACATACACATTGTGTGAGTTCCAGAAGGAGACAAGAAAAAGGGACAGAAAGAGTTTTGAAGAAATAATGGCTGAAAGCTTACCAAATTTGATGAAATACATGAATATAAACATTCAAGAAACTCATCAAACAGTAGTTAGGATAAATTCAAAGAGACTCACACCAAAACACATTATAATCAAACTATTGAAAGACAAAGAGAATATCTTAAAAGCAGCAAGAAAGAAGGAACTCGTCACATGGAAGAGAGCTCCAAACAGATTATCATCAGATTTCTCTTAGACACCTTGGAAGCCAGTGGGTTGATATATTCAAAGTGATAAAGGAAAGAAAAACCTATCAACCAAGAATCCTGTATCTGACAAAACTGTCCTTCAACTATTAGGTAGAAAATAAGAAATTAATTATTCCCAGATAAATGAAAGCTGAGAGAGTTTGTTAACACTAGACCTTCCCTGCAAGAAATGTTAAAAGGAGTCTTTCAGGTTGCAGTGAAGGACACTGGAGAGTTATATGAAGCCAAGTGAAGAAATAAAGACTTCTAGTAAAGGTAAATACATGGATAATGATAAAAGCTAGTACTATAGTAACTTTGTTTAATTCTCTTTTTTTTTCTACATAATTTAAGGGACTAGTTCATTTAAAAATTATTAGTCTATGGCTTTGGACACACATGCATAAAGATGCAATTTTGTGACATCAATAATCAAACAAAAGGGACAGAGATGTATAAGAGCAAAGGATTCGAATGCTATTCAAATTAAGTTGATATCAATTCAAATTAGTGTTATAATTATTGGATGTTAAATGTAATCCCCAATGGTAACTACAAAGAAAAATAGCTATAGAATATACACAAATAAAAATGAGAAGGTAAAGAACAAGTTTCGTAGCAAAAAATCAGCTACACACAAAAGACAGTAATGTAGGAAATGAGGCAGAAAAAATTATAAGGTAAATAGAAGACAAATAGCAAAATGATAGAAGTAAGTCTCTCATTAATAATTTATTTAAGTGTAAATGAATTAAACTCTCCAATCAAAGGACAGAGATTGGCTGAATGCATTAAAAATGATTAAACTCTATGATATCTACAAGAAACACACTTTACTTTTTTATTTTTAAAAAAATTTTTATTGACGTATAGTTGGTTTACAATGTTGTGTTAATTTCAGGTGTACAGCAAAGTGATTCAGTTATATATACATGTATATGTATATATTCTTTGTCACATTCTTTTCCATTATATGTTATTACAAGATATTGAATATAGGACCCTGTATTATGCAGTGGGTTCTTGTTGTTTATCTATTTTATACCTATTGGTATGTATCTGTTAATCACAAATTCTTAATTTATCCCTCCCCCACTTTCCCTTTAGTAATCATCCCATTGTTTTCTATGTCTATGAGTCTGTTTCTGTCTTGTAAGTTCATTTGTATTATTTTTTAAGATTCCACATGTAAGTGATATCATATGAATATTTGTCTTTCTCTGACTTATTTCGCTTAGTATAATAATCTCTAGGTCCATCCATGTTGCTGCAAATGACATTATTTCCTTCTTTTTTATAGCTGAATAATATTCCATTATATATACCTTATCTTCTTTATCCAGTCGTCTGTTGATGGACACTTAGGTTGCTTCCATGTCTTGGCTATTGTAAAAAGTGCTGCTATGAACATTGAAGTGCATGTATCTTTTGAATTAGGATATTCTCTGGATATATGCCCAGGAGTGGGATTGGTGGATCATATAGTAACTCTATTTTTAGTTTTCTAAGGAACTTCCTTACTGTTCTAGATAGTGGCTGCAGTAATTTACAGTCCCACCAACAGAGTAGGAGGGTTCCCTTTTCTCCACACCCTCTCCAGCTTTATTATTTTTGATAATGGCTGTTTTGACTAGTGTGAGTTGATACTTCACTGTAGTTTTGACTTGCATTTCTCTAATAATTAGCAATGTTGAGCATGTTTTTATGTGCCTGCTGGCCACCTGTATATCCTCATTGGAGAAATGTCTGTTTAGGTCTTCTGCCCATTTTTGAATGGGATTTTTGTTGTTGTTGTTGAGTTGTATGAACTGTTTGTATATTTTGGAAATTAAGCCCTTGTCTGTCACATTGTTTGCAAATATTTTCTCCCATTGTGTAGGTTGTATTTTCATTTTGTTTGCGATTTCCTTTGTGGTGCAAAAGACCCAGGATTTTCTTATTCTTCGTTCCTTCTATATGACAGGATCTCAGCTTTTTTTTTTTTCCCCCAAAAAAAGAATGGATGGGTGAATGCTAACGTAACAATATCTGTTCTACTCATTTAAAATATTATTATTCTGTTTAATGTTAGTTTAAGAAAGACGTTTTCTCAGTGGAATCTGGTCATGTTTTTCTTCCAAGCTCAGGATGTATAAATCTTAGAATAACTCCTTTATTATGAAAATTAGAACTTTTAAGAGGGGCAGCACTTTTGTGTGTGCATGGCCACCATCACCTCCCTGTGGACACTGACAAGGGAATCCGCCTGACCTCGAGCTGCATCCTGAGCCTGGATCCAGACCTCAAGCCCCGACGACTGGCAAGATCTGAATATTTGGGGAGTGTCTGACACAGGGAAGGAGCTTTGCTGGTCTCTGGTGACACACTCTCCCAGCTCCCCAACTTAGCAGAGATGTGCAGACCTCTGACTCTGTGATTTCATAGGCATTAGATAGTCTACCTGTCCTCCTCAATCCCCACTCCATACTACATCTTGAGGTCTGAAACCTTTATTGAATACTGTGTTTATACCTTTCTATCCTTATAAAGTATTAGTTAACCTTAAACTTATTTTTCTGTAGTGTACCAACCTTGCATTCTAACTTGTAAAACCCATTTGTTTTTTACAGTTCATTTCATCTCTTTCATATATCCATTTCCTCGTAATATCCTTTAAACAAAAGAAAAGGAGACACAGGCCAACCTAAGTCCTATTCTCCTAATTTTGAAATAGTCTTCAACCTTCAAAACAGAAAGCTGACAAGTAGAACATTATTCTTGTGGAGGTTGTAACACAGGTCACAGATCACAGAGTGTCATCAAAGACCACCTGAGCCACCCTCTCCACAAAACCACACTTGGGACAGGAGCCAGGATCGGGGCTAGAATTCGTGGACCTGGGCGGCTGAGAGTCTCCTGGACCCACTCTGACTGTGGTCCTGAGGGCGGTCCTCCAGACTCCTGGCTGGCCACCCCCTACTGTAGGAGAGGCACCTCACCCCTCAGAAGACAGCTCTTCCCCCTTAGTCACATTCACCCCGAGACCACCACACTCCAGGTCACTGAGCCAGTCAATGTGAGGGACATTTAGTTGGCTTTCGAGATATCTCTGGACTGCTCCAAGATATCTTCTTTGCTGGGCCTGGTTATGTTAATAGAGTCACTCTTAAGGCCATAAACCACTTGATTAATTTATATTGGATCATTATCACTTTTAGCCACATGACTGAGGGCTAGGTCCTCCACAGTCCCTGAAAAAAAACACTGAGACCATATTTCCTTTTCTGCCTCTTCCCCTGAGTGATTCTTCCTATCCCAGTGATAGTCTGTTTTGGAACACTTGCTGCTGTCATGGATTATAAAGCAAGGGGCGGGGGAGCGTTAGGATGCCTGGGAGGCCTGATCTTCCTGTGACAGGGTCTGATTTCATCTCTCGATTTGAGGAGCACCACTTTGGCCTGTACTTCGCAGTAAGAGCCTCCCAGAGCCCGCGGGAACTCGGCAGCCCAGGGGCGAAGCTGAGCGGTGCCTGACAGGGACGGGGAGGGGGAGGAGTCTTGCTTTTGCTAAGATTCAGGCTTGTTTCGCGAGCGCACTGCTACCTTCCCCGATTTAGTCCAGATCTGACTGGGGGCGGGAACCAGGCGGCCCTCAGCGACCCGGCGCCGAGCTCGGCTCGGGAGTCCTCGCGGCTGGAGGTGGAAATGGTCTACTTTGCCTGCCCCATGGCGCAGACGCCAGCCCCAGGAGCCCCGGGTGCCCTCGGTCTCAGGAGGGCTGGGTAGTAGTTGGGGGCGGGGCGAAGCGGAGAGAGGCGACGGGGCGTGGTCTCAGGCCACACCCAGGCCTGACCCAGGCACCCGGATGAACTTCCAGCCCAGCCTTGCCAAGGAGGACCCACCCCCCCAGCCCCGAATCTACCGACGCTGACCATGGCCATGACCCTCGGTTACTGGGACATCCGCGGGGTAATCGAGGGGTCCACCGGGGCGGATGGGATGGAGGCGGGCGTGAGGGCGGGGAAATGCTGCGCAGCTGGGGACCGGTTCACCCAGAATCTTTTTCTCCCCGGCTTGTTGCAGCAGAGCCCCTTCCCTCCACCCCTCCTTCTCAGGTGGGCGTGTAGGAGGGGCCGGGCAGAGAGGGGGTTATGGTGTTGGGGGGTAACTTGGAGCAGAGAAAGTCAGGTTATCAGCACCTAACACCTGACGTCTGTTAAGGCCATCTATTCTAGCTGGCTCATGCCATCCGCCTGCTCCTGGAGTACACAGACTCAAACTATGAGGAGAAGACTTACACGATGGGAGACGGTAATGACATCCTCATCCTGTTCTGACTTCCGCTCAAGTCATGCCTGTCTGATGCCAAGCAACCCCTGTCCTGGCCGTTTCCTTGCCTCTGTCAAACTCCACCAGCTGGAGCAGGGGCCTGCCTCTTCTGGAACCATTTGAGGCTGCAGCTGGCCGCCAAGGCAGGACATGAGAGTCTACTGCTGGGCCCCTGTATCAGCCGTTGGCACAGATTCCCCTTACTGCTTGCACAAACCCTTTGCAAGCCTTACTCATTTAGGTTCCAGAGCCTCTTAAGTGTGCTTTCCTCCCTGAGCTGGAATGTGAGACTTAGTGTTCAGATTCCAAAGCCATCTGTTCAGGGGGTCGGGCCTCTTGACTCCTTGGGAGGACCTCACAGGAAGGAGTATTTTTCTCTTGGGAGGTTTGGTTTATTGCACCTTCTTTACCACAGCTCCTGACTATGACAGAAGCCAGTGGCTGAGTGAAAAGTTCAAGCTGGGCCTGGACTTCCCCAATGTAGGTGCAGGGCATGCGGGTGCTGTGGGGGAAAGTGGATGGTGTCTCTCCTCCTTTTCCTTTCCCAGCTTAGAGGTTTCAGGATCAGGTGCCTTCTGCTCCACCTCTCAGCTCCCTAGTTCTCTCACTGCCTTTCCAGGATGCTCTATGTCCCAGCTCATTCAGTGATAGTACAGTATATTATTTAGTACCTCCCATGGGCCAGGGCCTGTGAGTGCCAGACTTCATCTCTGCCTTTGCTCAAGAGACGGGGTGCAGGGGAGCCTGGTGGTCCAACCAACCTGCCCTGTTGTTCTTGCAGCTACCGTATCTAATTGATGGGGCTCACAGGCTCACCCAGAGCAACGCCATCCTTCGCTACATTGCTCGCAGGCACAACATGTGTGAGTGGGACTGGGGGCGGGGACAGGGGAACAAGTGACCACACCCTGGGCTTTGCTGGAGTGTGATGCTGAATGTGAGCCTCTGTTGTATGGACACAGGTGGGGAGACAGAGGAGGAGAAGATTCGTGTGGACGTTTTGGAGAACCAGGCTATGGACACCTCTAATGACTTGGCCAGAGTCTGCTACAGCTCTGACTTTGTGAGTCCCCTCCTACTGGTTTGGGCTGAACAGAGTTTGAAAGGAGACTGGATTCTTGGTTCTTTCTACACTGATCCCTTTGTAATTTAAACTCTTGGAGCTACTAATCCACCAGTTCAGTCCCTATAGTGTCCCCAGAGTGAGCCTCATAACCCCACTGTGCATGAAGTGGAAATTCTGTCAGTTCCCACCAATGTTGGGATACAGTCCAGACTCCCCAGGGTGGAAATTCAGTACCTAGACAGGATGTTTATCTTGTTAGATCAGTGCCTCCTCCTTGGCAACTCAGGCAGGAACACATTTGCCCAGTAGACATCTCGGGATCAGATTTTTTTCCCTCTCCCTCCTTTTTAGCCTCTCAGATTCTCCTCAGCTGCCCAAAAACCACTCAGGTGTCCATACCATTTCTGTCTCTCAGTACTGGACCGTTCAACTTCTTTTCTGATTCTATTTAGTGTTGCCTGAGGTCTGAGTCCCAAGCTCTGTCAGGTCTCCTAGCACTGCTGCTCTGACCCATGGGTGGTGTTTGGAGATGAGTGGTGACAGGTTCAGGGATAGTGTGGTTTTGCCCTTTGCCTTCCCATCATCCATCACAGATGGGTGGTGGTTCCCAGTAGGAGTCTAGTGAGCACAGATGGGTTAAATTGGAGCCTGGGCACTGACCCAGGTGCCATCAGGGGACATGGCTGCTCACCTGGCATCTGGGATCAGGCACAGCCCTGGGAGGCCTGCTCTCTGCCCAGGGAGTCTGTGTCTGAGGCTGGTGACAGCTGGTTTCTGCCTCAGGAGAAACTGAAGCCTGTGTACTTGAAGGAGATCCCTGAAAAGATGAAGCTCTTCTCAGAGTTTCTGGGAAAGAGGACTTGGTTTGCAGGAGACAAGGTAAGGGGGACAGCTTTGAGGGATGATGAGCTGTCATTTGTCCCAGTTTCAGAGTTTGGTGCCCATACCTCCTTTGCCTTCCTGCAGCTCAACTTTGTGGATTTCTTGGCTTATGACGTCCTTGACCTGCACCGCATATTTGAGCCCAAGTGCCTGGATGAATTCCCAAACCTGAAAGACTTCATGAGCCGCTTTGAGGTGATTCCCCTGATCCTTCTAATATTTATATCTCTTGTCTTCTCTCTCCTCCCTGATGCTTTCCTATTTGTGGAGATAAGATGAAGAATACCTAGCATTCATTGAGGACTGCTGCATCAGAATGTGTACTCAGGAATTTGCACGTATTGTATCAGATTTAATCTTTATAACATTCCTCCATCATAGAAGAACTATTACCTCCATTTTACAGATAAGGAATTAAGCTAAAAGTTACTTACAAGTAATTGCTGAAGGTCACAGAACCAACAGAGATTTTACAGGGGTCCCAAGCATAGCACCTTGTGTCTGTGGTTAGCAGTCAGTGGCTGTCTCTTCCTGTACTGAAAAGAAAAGACTCAGTTCTTTTCCTTGTCTGGGTTCCATATGGACTGTGCGGATGAAGGAGAACCTTCAGGAATTTGTTTGTAGCTCGCATTAGTAGAGTTGAGACACAGTAGGATTGACATTAAGTACCAAAAACAGAATATTTTCTCCCCATCTCAAGCGGGCTCTGCAGCAATGGGATCCTGTCTGGGATTGTACTGAGATTCCCAGGACTGTAGTTAGTGCTGGGATTTGAGTATGTATGTAGGTGTTCTGTGAAAAGATTTTATTTTGACATCTGTTATGGTGGGCACTTCCCTCCCTCCCTGTCTCCCTTCCCTTCTTCCTTCCAAGACTCTGTCTGGGAAATGGGATAGTACATTTATTTTAAGTCACATTTATGATCTGATTTCCCCTCTTCGTGAGGCACTGTGTCAGGCATAGGGGGATGCAGACGTAACAGAGGCCTGGCACCCACCCTCTGGGGCTCAGAGCAGTTGGAGAACTACAGGAATACTGAGCTGTGTGGTGTGTGTGGTACCATCTTGGTGCTGGAGGAGCACAGCCTGACCTCACCTCACAGCTCATCGTCGGTCATCCTCATTCAACTAATTGGAGAGCAACAAAGCCTGTTTATCACAGAACTGGGGATTTGGGGCATTAGTCCAATAGGTTTTTCAGCCTACAATTTGTTTCCCATCCCCACTTCCTATTATGAAATGTGGTTTCTCAGCTACTTCTCTTCAGCTCTGGTTTTGCTCCAGGCTTATTGGCCTTGAGAATTTTGCAAGAGATGAGATAACTACCTGGCAGGGAGAATGGAGACAGAATGTGGGCAGCAATGTGTGGCCTGTTGGGCTCTGGGCTGTTGGGTATAGGCAGCCTCAGGATATTTGAATCCTTGGAACATGTTGGACATTCTCTGTCTTGGGAAGATGGTGCACAGATACACCTGAGTGTCATCCTGCCGTGTTGGCTGCAGCAGGACTGGAGATGTGATAGGTTTTTGGCCCAGTGAGACTGGGTTCAGGGACCAGGCCAGGCAGTTGGACTCTGCCCTTTAAGTGGAATAACTAGAGCCTGGCCTGGCCTTGCTGCTTCAAAGCCTCCCACTGCCTTTCATCCAGGTTTTCCTGAGTCGCAGGGTGAGATCTGGTCTGTTCTGCATGCTGCTCAGGCACTTTCTGAGCCCCTTTGTTGTGCTAGGAGTCCCTCTGCGGGCAAAACTAGCAGCCTGCCTGTGAAAAAGCGGAATTCTAGTGCAAAGTGGGAAGGCTAAGTCCTCCTGTGCTCAGATGGGGAGGGGAGTGCAGCAGAAGGAGCAGCGGATTGGAGGAGAGACAGGCTGTGTTCTTACTAGTTGCATTAGCATGAGGAAGGTGCTTAACCCTGTGTACCTCAGTTTTGGTCAAGAGATACTAGAATCTGTCTTGTAGGTTAGTCATGTGGAGGTTCTAAACCCTCAGGCACACTGAGGGTTTGGTTGTAGACGCCCACAATAAAGTGAATATGGCAGTGAAGCAAGTCACATGCCTTTTTTGGGTTCCCAGGGCATGTACAAGTTATGTTTGCACTCTACTGTAGTCTATAAAATGTCCAGTAAATTATGTTAAAAAAAACCCAACAATGTACATACCTTAATTTAAAAATACTTTGTTACTAAAAATGTTGACCGTCCTCTGAGCCTTCATTGAGCTTACTCTTTTTGCCATAGTAACATCAAAGGTCACTGATCACAAATCACTGTAATAAATACAATTATAATGAAAAGGGGGAAATATTGGGAAAATTACCAGAGGCACGAAGTGAACAAACACGGTTGGAAGAATGGTGTTGGTTAACTTGCTTGATGCACGGTTGACAGAAAGCTTCAAGTTGTAAAATACACAATATGTGTGACTCACAATAAAGTGAGGTGCCGTGGAATGAGGGCTGCCTGGATATCATTATATCTAGTGGGTGTGCAGCATGTAGCACAGCACACTCTCCTTTTGGGGTAAGTCTTGTTAAGATGATCACATCGGTTACAGGAAATTGAAGAGGTAACTTACCAAAACTTGGGACCCCAGGAGGATTGTCTTTTGCTGAACATCTGACCCCACAAGGAAGGGCTGTACCACATCCCGAACTTGAGTAGAGCTGCTTCAGCCCCAGTGGGGCAGCTGACCTTCGTCTGACCTTCTTCTTCCCACCCTCAGGGCCTGAAGAAGATTTCTGCCTACATGAAGTCCAGCCGCTTCCTCCCAGGCCCTTTGTACACGAAGAGTGCCGTGTGGGGCAACAAGTAGTGCCCCGGAAGGCAGGAGCCGGAGTGCGGAGCCAGCGCTGTGCTTGTGGTGCCAGGGCCCTGGAGAACAGCTGGACCTCCCTGCACCCCCACCACCAGGTGTCTCGTGTCTCCTTTCTTTCCACTTGTCCCCACTCAGGCTTTATTTAGCCCCTATGCCTTTCCCACTTCCCATTCATTCAGGATCTTTATAGCTCTACGGCACTCCACACTCCTTCCATGAAGTCACCTCCTGACGTTTCTTTTCTGCTTGAAAGCCAGCCAGACTGTCCTTCCTTTCTATGGCTGTGTCTGACCAGACCCCTGGCCTGTAGAGCTCAGGCCTGAGCTCCCAGCACTGCCGTGAAGACCAGTATTGGCCTGGTGTGCAGCGTGGTCCCTGCCCAGCCCTGTCTCATCACCAATAAAGCCTTGATCACACCTGCTGTGTCTTATCTTTTTCCCTCCTGGCCACCTGAAATATCCAAGTGACCCTGCTGCTTTCAGAGAACTGAGAGGTGATGCTGGCAGTGGCTGGTGCATGGGGATCCTGTCTGGTAGTGAGGTGTTTTGAGACTTCTTTGTCCTATTTTCTGACACCCTTAGAGCAGGGAGCCTTAGTGAGCTCTCTGTAGAAGGGAGGCTCTCTCTGAGCCTCCATTCACCCCTCCTTCATTATTAGGAGATCATGTTTGTGTAGAGCTTAGTGAGTAGGGCCTAGAGTGGTAGGAATCCCCTGTGGAGAGAGCAGGATTCTTCTCTTCTTCAAATTGCTAGGTAGGCTTTATCACATCTTCAATATTCTAGGATCTATTTCCATTCTTACGTTAGATGCCATCTAAGTGCCCTCTCCAGGCTGATGCACAACTATCATTCAGAAGCTTCTTCCTTGGTTTACTCTCTCATTTTCTTAGTACCCATGAGATAAATGTTTTTAGTCCTTTCACATCTGAAAATGTCTTGCTAGTTTGGTTAGGTATGGACTTGTAGGAAGAAGACCTTGAGCATTCTGACGGCTTCTAGAATTCAGCATTGCCAATGAGAAGGGTGATGCCGGTCTGTCTTGACTCTCTTGTAAATGGCCTTTTTTCTTTTTAACTTAAGAAATTTTTCAGTTCTTCTTGCCATGGTGAGGTATCCAAGTCCTAAGTCTCTGTGGGGTCTTGGGGCCATTATTTCCCTCCTGTTGCTGGAAATTATATATAAATCCACCTATAAGAATGGAAAAGACTAAACTAAATTGAAGACTCTACCCTGGAAGACACAGATTCAAGAGGCACATAAATGGTGTTTATCTGGACTACAAAATGAGGGAGGCTTCTGAAGGCAAATGCCACAAACTTACATAAATTGTTTGTCAAGAATTCAAATTGGAGCTGGCAACAAGTAAGTGTGCTTGTTAGGCAAGAATTGTTTTGAGTCCGAAATGATTGCCTAGTTACAAAGGAAACCTTGAGACCATAAGGTTGCAGCTGGTGGATACCGTTTTGAGAACTGCTTGTCTTGCCCTTGAGTCTTCTAAGTTCGGAAAATTCATGTTCTCAGTGATTTAGGAACGTGTCTGAAATCACATCTACAATGGCCACCTGGCTCCATTTTGAGCGCCTGAACCACAGTTACTCTGTTTTCATTTTTCAGTGCATCTGTTCTTTAATGGTTAAAGCAAGTGTAAAATGCATGTTTGATAGACCACAAAGCAGGCTATTCAAGTTAGCATAGAGTTTAAATTAAATCATGTATAAGCAAGCATTTATCCCCCATACTTCAGTAAGTGGAAATGTCTTCCATCACATCCTTCCATGAGCATTGGAACACGAGAATTCTCCAGTCACCAGACACCAGTCACTGCATCCTCTAGAAGTAATATTAAGTCACACTGTAGAGGGGTCTGCTTAAGAGTAAGTTTCTAGGAACTCAGGAGTTCCCAAACCGTGCTACCAAAAATAGTTGCTAATTTGGGGTTCTGTTACTCAGGCAAGGTTCAGATGGGAGAAAATACAGCAAAACAGCAAAGACCTTTTTTCCAAAAATGATATATGTAAAAATAGAACAATGAAAAAAGGGCCAAGTCTTGAATGGGCATTTCCCAAAGGAGAATATCCAAATGGTCAAAAGCATCTGGGAAGGTGCTCAACATCACCAGATACTGGAGAAGGTACAGACACAGATCCTATTACATACCTACATAGGGTAAAATTAAAAGGACCAACAATAGTTCTTGAATCTTGGAGTAACTGGAACTGTCCTTCAGTGCTGGTGAGATAGTCCTTTGGAAACCAGCCTTATCTGCTAGAACTAAACCTACATTTACCCCGTGCCCCTGGAACCCCACTCCATGTTATATACCAACAGGGATGTGTACTTATGTTTTCCAAAAAATGTGTACAATAATGTTTGAAGAAGCTTTATTTGAAAGAACCAAGGACTGGCAATTTTCCAAATGTCTATCAATGGGACAATGGACAGATAAACTGTGATGGGTTATTATAATTCCACCATTCATATGATGGAATACTGCAATGAGTACACTACAATAAAAATAAAAAGGTATTGCTGCACACAGTGTGGATCATTCTCAAACACACTGTGGACTGAGGGTTTAGAAACAACAAAGTACCTACTACAGCATTCCATTTTCCTGAATGTCAACAGGCGAAATGAATCCAAAGTGACAGAGGTCAGCTGAATGGTGAGCTTGTGTGTTGGGGGGTTCCTCTTTGAAGAGCACTGTGCAGTGCTCGAAATGTTTTCTGTCTTGATCTAGGTGGTGATTCCATAAGAGTGCGTATACCTAAAAGTCACAGAGCATACACTAAAGAGTTATGCACCTCCTGCGTGTGATACACATAGATACTGTCTTACTGTTACTTTGCTTGTGTTTTTCTTCATCATCTCTCCCCATAGGACGTAAATACCTAGAAGGCAGGGGTTTCTGTCTCTTCTTGTTCAGTGGTGTTACAAATGTTTTTACCACACCTGGAAAAGCAGCTTAAACATAGCGGGTGCTCAGTGAATAGTTAATAAGCAAGTTATATTTAATATTATGGGGTTACTTCTAATATTCATTTGATTTTTATTCATGCCTACTTCTTGGGTAGCTGTGTGTATACATCCTTAAGTTCTTCTTTGCTCCTAACATTTCACTTAAAAATCTGTACCTATTGGCTGTCCACATGTGCACACACTATTAAATATTTACTGGCTATGTAGCATTCCTTCCTGTAGGTAAAGTGTAATTTGCCTAGTCAGTCTCACATATTGGGCACGTGGAATTTTCTAATGTTTTGACTTTCTTGACAACACTTTGGCTTAAGCTGATGTCTTCCTCTGGTTTTGTTTCCTTTATTTTGTAGATCCCCAAGCAGACCCTGGAAGGCAAAGAGTAAGAATGGGTTTATGCTTTGAGAGTAGATTATTTTGTTACTCTGCAGAGAGTAATTTACTTGCTGGTGCCCCCAGCAAGGCACATGGACCTGTTTCTCCAGTACCCCAGGCACCTGCGCTCCACAGTTTCATCTTATGCTAGTTTTATGGGATCACAGGCATACCTTGCAGTTTTCCACCTTTACCTCTTGTTAATTGTTTGTTGGCTGTGCATGTTTCCACCTGATGAATGAATACTTGTGATGAATCCCTGTCCATTTGTTAGGTAGTTAGTCAGACATAAGTGGTGAGACCCAGGAAAACAGTATCTGGGGAGAACCCAAAAGAGATTCTGCTCCATTCAATGCAGGTAAACGCCGGTAAACGAGTGACTGCTGAGAAGGAGCTACAGTCCCCTGGCGGAGCATGCACAAAGCCTAGGATTCCTTGTTCTCAGATGATCCTACCACTGTGAAACATTCATATATTAATTTCCTTATAACAAAGAAAATTCTGGGAAAAATATGAGCAATTCAGGTACCCTTAAGTCTCGGCTGTCAATCAAGATGACGTGTCTCTGCTGGCAAAAGCAAAGCTTAAAAAGCTAAAATCCTCTGCTTTCGGGGTCATTGCCTCCCTCGGCTTGGCCCGCTTGTCTCTTGAAGTGTGTTTCTTTCCCAAGTAAACCCTGCCAGTACTTTCCTACTGTTATGTCTCAATTCTTTGTTGCGCCAACAAGAACTGAAGTCAGGGCGGCCCTGCTGTCACCCACAGTAACAAATGAAACTCCCTGTGTAAAACGGTGACCATGCTTGCCTCAAATTTATCCAATTCCTGGATCAATTATTTAATGATGAGGTAGTGGCAGTCAACACTTTCTTTTTTTAAATAGGCACAGTAGAAGTAATTGTAGATCTTGAGCTTCTTACCATGTAGCAAATAAATACAAAAATTGATTAGAATAATCAACAAATATGTTTGTAAAACTCAACATAGCATAAAAAGCTAAAGCACACTGTTTTTGGAAGACTGCTTCTGTATCAGACTGGACTGGCTGAGATGTTAAAGGGTCTCTTAAAGCTGGTCCATCTCCTTGATTATTGTCACTATTTTTTTAGAACTTTAAAGAGCAAATCATGCGTCTGCCTATGTGTTTTGCCAATTTGATGCCATGAGTATCTCTGGGACCCCTTGAATGACAGGTAAACTGTGGCACTGGAGCTGTCGCTATGCTTAATCCCATCACCCACATCGATGTGTGTGACAGTTATTAAGTGCCTACATATTCAAATATTGTTCTCCCTGTGAGGGTAATAAAAACAGAGGGTACCAGTTTCTGGGACTTGTTAGACTAATTTTGGCAGTGACTTGTTAGAAATTTCTGTACACCCTTTTCAGTCATGTGGATAATTTTGTTTTGTTTTGTTTTGTTTGTTTTTTAAATGTTTTTTTTTTCTTCCTCCTCAGAGCCAGGGCAGTTCCCAGCAGGGCCCTCAGACGCTTGGCCAGCCCAGCCCGGCTCTTCATCTTTGGTGTGATGGGGTTGCTCCGCCTCTGTTCCAGGGCCATCGCAGTGGCCAGGTGCTGGAAGGCGGCCTCCAGACTGACTGTCACAGTGGCTGAGGACCGGTGCCCGGCTGCTGGTGCTTTTTGGACACGGGGTCTTCCAGCACCTGCCTGACCCAGCTCCCCCAGCCCAAGTGGGCAGCTAAACAGGACCCTGATACACGGTGGTGTTAGAGCCTCGCCAAACAGCGATCCCAGACTTGCCCCTTGGGGGATCCGTTTTAAAAAATACATTCAGTTCATCCCATGTAGCCATGTCAGCAGCTCCTGATCAATTACTGTCCTGGTGCAGGTCAGTGCTGCCTGGCCTGGAACAGTGCTCGGGGGACTCCGAGGAGGCCTGCTGTCTGACAACCAGAGTTACCCCAGTCCATACCCTGTTTCCTGGAGGGCCAGGCTGCCAGGCCACGCATCACGGTCTCTGCCCAGCTCTCAGGCTCTTGTCCCGATCTGCTGCCTTGTGCCTGCAGCGATAGCCCCCAGAGCAAGACAGTTTCCCAGTCCTCCCTGCAGTCAGCCCTCCCTGCTGGCTGGTGGCCAGGGTTGTGGGTGCTCGTGACTCCTTCCTGCCGCCTAGAATTTGCAGGGCAGTGTTTTTCCAGTTGCAGCTTTTGACCCAGTATCAGTCTAGTTTCTTCATGTCAACACTGCTGACAGTTCAGACGGCATAATTCTTGGTTATGGGGGGCTGTCCTCTGCACGGTGAGTGGTTAGCAGCATCTCCAAGCCCTCATCCCCTAGATACCGGTAGCTCTGCCCATCCTTGTGACCATCCAAAGTGCTCATAGACTTTGCCAAATATCTCTGAGAGGCAAAATCGCCCCCAGTTGAGACAACCAAAGTAACGGATGGAGATTAGCATTTTTTTTTTTTTAAAGAATAGAATTTAAAAAAATCAGAGTGGAACATAAGTCGTTA